TCCGCCACACTCTGGGAGAAATCCAGCCCAGTGTTTCCACATCTTGCCATTTAGTCAAAAGAAGCTCTCCTGTCAGGCGTAGTGGTACACACCCATAACCTCAGCACTGTAGGAGGCTGAGGCAGGAAGATGGCAAGTTGCAGCCCAGCCTAGGCAATTTAGCAACTTAGCTAGACCTTGTCTCAAAATAAAAAAATAAAAAGGGCTGGAGGTGTAGCTCAGTGCACATACCCTGGGGGGGGAAACAAAAAAGAAGCTCTTGTATTAGGTGTCATTTCCTGATTTCTTTTTTTTAAAAAAAAAAAAAAGACAAAACATTTATTGGTACATTTTAGATATACATTATGTTAACACTTATCATAGAGAATTTGCACCTGTACATGATAAATCTTTCCCCCTTCCTCTCAAGCCCCCCTCCCTTCCCTAATGCAAAAGTTTTGTTTCATTTTTTTCTTCTATTTTTCCTTTTTTTTGTTCCTTCCTTTCTCCCTCCCTTCTCCCTTGTTCCCCATTCTATTTTCTTCCCATTTCCCAGCATCCATTATACATTTTAGTCCTTATGTCCACTTTCAGTTTCTCAGACCAGAGAAACAATGAGGTATTTAAACATGAGTGTCTGATTTATTTCACTTAAGAGAATGCTCTCAAGGTGCATTCATTTAGCTGTAAATGTCTCTCTCTCCTGATTTCTAGTATTATCAACTATAATTTATTCATAAGCATTTTGATGAACAAAACATCTACCACTTTTAACCTCTGATTTACATAAGTGACAGGGCAGGTCTTTCTATTGCTAGTGACAGACACATCTGCCCCTGACCTCCCAGAGAACCAGAATCTCACAGAGGAAGGGGTGCAGTGCATACTGGGCAGTGACAGCCTCACCACTGCCCACTGCCGGGCAATCTCCCTCAGCTGCCCTTCTGTAGGGTGCCCTTCATGATCTTGCATCACACTATGTGGGCAGGTGTTGGCTCACAGCCCTTCCCAGGTGTCAGCCTGTCATGGTGTTTGTGTTGTCATCCCTGGCTGAGTCAGTGATCAGGAGTAGACGCCCTCCCACATTAGTGGCATTTGGTCAGTCTATCTGTTGGAAGCCTTTTGCTTCAGTTTAAGTATAGAAACCTATGGTATCTTATGAACATGCTCTTGCTTGTGAAAAGTGGAATCCAACTCAAGTTAGCTTAAGAGGGAAAACAAGTTGATTGTTCTAGGAATTCAGGCTGTTTCGTAGAACTCAAAGACAAGAATTCACCCAAACCAGTAGAAAGAATGAGAAGTGATGAGAAAGACATTAGGAACCCTGACAGCAACTCTTCAGCTTTTCTTCACAGCCAATTGATTTCTCATGCCTCCACCTAGCTACTTACTTTCTCTCATTCTTTCTGCAGAATTTCTCTACACACAGCACACAAAGGATGCCCCACAGTAACCAGGTTCTCATCCTGTCAGACTCATCCAGATTCCCTGACTATAATTCTGATTGGCCAACATGGGTCAAGTGTCTATTTTTGGTCCAATCAGCTGAAGCCAAAGGACAGATCAAGTTGTAAAAACATGGCCACCATTGCCCTTGTTTGCATCTAGTTTTTGTTGTTGGTTTTTTTTTGGTACGGGGGCTCGAGCTCGGGTCCTTGTGCTTACTCAGCAGGCGGCAAAACCACTGAGCTAAATCCCCGGCCCTACCATTGCCCTTGTTTGTAATGAAATGGTTAGATACATCAATGAAGACATTTATTGTTTAATAAGCTATAAAAAAATTATGTTGACAAAAGGAATATTGATTACTTGGAGGTCTAAAATACAATATAAAGGCAAAAAAAGATGATTGTTTAAGTCAAGAAATAAATTTATTTGGATTATGGGACAACAGAGTGGCTTGAATTATAACATTAATTCTTATAACATTAAGTCTTTAGTGGATTCATATATTTTAATTGTTTGAGTATTATTTTATTTTATTTTTCTGCAAGGCATGCACTTGGAGTTAACTTTTGTAGGTTGTTTTACAAAAGAAGTACAATGATATAAACAGACACATTTATTTATTTCCCTCTGTTTTCCTCCAATAATATAGAAAATTAGAAAAAAGGATGGCTTTTTTCTTTTTTTCTTTTTTCTTTTCTTGTGGTGCTAGGAATTCAGCCAGGACTTCACACAAACCTATGATCACTGAATAGTACCTCCAGCCCCCTTATTCAAATTTGACTTGACTTTTTTCTTGCCCAGGTAACTTTGAATAAATAATACTAAAATCTGTACCGTGATTTACTGGTTTGTAAAATAGGGGTATTGTCCTGTCAATTTTTTTTTATGGAGCTTTAACGAGATAATATATGTAAATTCTCCAGTTTGGTTCCTAGAATTTTTAAAGGTTCATTCCTTTCCCTTTGCTACTCAGGGTAGGTTTTGACCTTGGCATTGTAGAGTAAGGAAATAATCCGTGGCTGTGGGATGAAGTAAACTTATCCAATTACTTAGCACTACTTCAGTAGTTCTCATGGACCGCCTTCATAATAGTACCATGGTCTAACCAGTTGAGCTAGTTTGCAGACTTTTAGAGCAGAGTTCAATCAAAAATATAAATGCAAAAATTCTTGTTTTACACTGAAAACAAGATTCTTACTGTGCTCAGCCTCCACTTCCTTATCTTTTAAATGGGTATAATGATACCAGTCCCAGAAGGTAACTGTGCAGCTCAGAGATAATGCATATAAAACAGTTAGGGCAATACTAGTATACTGTCAGTGGTCAGTCGATCTTTTTCTTTTTCTTTTTTCTTTCTCAGATGGAGGGATCTCACTATATTGCCTAGGCTGGCCTTAAATTCCTGGGCTCAAGTGATCCTCCTGCCTCAGCTTCCTGAGGAGCTGAGATTATAGGCACATCCACAGCACCTAGTTTTTCTCCCCCACCCCTTCTGTACCAGGAATAAAACTCAAGACCTTGAGCTTGCAAGGCAGGTGCGCCACCACTGAGCTAAATCCTGGGCCCTAGCTTTTCTTTTTAACTTGAGTTCATATGTGCCTGAGCTTGATACAACAAGAGACAAAACACTGCCCAAGTTCCCTTTTTCCACCTCTGTGGATGAAGCTAGATGTGCACCGTTCCTTGTAACATTGCTTGTATCAGCAAAACACTGGGGACTACCCAGTTGTGCCTCAGCAGGAGACTCATTACTTTGTTATACACACATATGATGGCCTGATGCTGTAGAATCTTGAGAAAGAAGAAAGTCTATCTATATGCACTAACAGTAGGAAGAGCTCCAAGAAATAGTGAAGTAAAAACATAGGAGGCAAAACAGTGAGTATAGCATAGTCTCCTTTGAATTGAAGAAGAAATTTTACAGATATTATATGTGTGCAGACACACATATACATGTATTACATTTCTAGATGGTTATACACATAAGAATATTAAGTATGTCCAATATAATAATAAGAGCATATTTTTAAAGCTAAGCATGATTGTACACACCTGTTATCCCAACACCATAGGAGGCTGATGCAGGAGGATCACAAGTTGGAGCCTAGCCTGAGCAACTCGGTGACCTAGTGAGACCCTGGACTGGCTGAACTCAGTCCAAAGACGCCAGGTTCAGTCCCAAGTACTGCAAAAAAGATATACTGATATACTATCTGTGTGTGTGTGTGGATGTGTGTGTGTGTGTAATCCATAAATGTATATATCTGAAAATATGCGTAAAAATAGTCTGTAAGGATTCTCCTCAAACCAACGGGGTGATGACTTTTGCAGATAAAAATGGTTTGAACCATGAGTTAATCAATGGGAGAGGGAGGCCATCTTTGCATTCTGTGTATTGCTTAAATATTTTAAGGAATACTGCAATTTTAAGGGATAAAAAATATATAGCATTGGAAATTTATACATCAAACTGTTCTTAACTGTGTATCTGAACTGCTCTTAACTGTAGCTGATATATTGGTTAGTTTTCCCCTTGCTGGGACAAAATACCTGACATAACTTAGAGGAAGAAAAGTTTACTTTGGCTCATGGTTCCAAAGGTTACAGTCCATGGTTAGTTGGTTCTGAGGCAGAATCATCATGGTGGAAGGGCATGGTGGAGGAAAGCTGCCCAACTAATGGTTGCCAGGAAGCAAAGCAGGTTAGAAAGAACAAGAGAGGAAGGGGTTATGAACCAGATAGAGGTCCCCAGGGTCACACCCCTCATGCCCCACTTCCTCTAGCTAGGCCCCACCTCCTAATATCTATTCGGGTATGAACCATGCGTTAACCCACTGATGATGTTATAGCCCTCACAATCCAATCACTTCTCCAAGGGATCACTCAATCCAGTCTCACTGACAAGGTTAATCATCACAGCAGGCAGTGTAGTAAAAGAGGACACATTTTCTGAAAATTAAGATGTTCCATTTTAACTTTAGTGTCATGTTTTTCTTCTTGTAATTATGAATGTGTCACATTTATGAAAACACATCCATAATTAAAAGTATTTTCATTTGAAAAATAAAATACTGATTAAGAAAAACCTGGTGATTTCTTTTGGGAGGAGATCTACTCTTCAATTTTAGTATATGTGCTGCCAAAGCAAGCATGTGACCTACTTTTCATAGTGTAACTTTGTGTGCATTTTTTACTTTGGTATACCAAATGGGCCTTATTTTTTCAATATATAGAGTGGCCTTTGCTTTTCATTCTTTCTTCTTTTAAACCCAAGTTAATACCCTATAAGAAATCTACTTCTAGCAGGAGATGATGGTACACACCTGTAATCCCAGAACTTGGGAGGCTGAGGCAGGAGGGTCACTGAGTTCAAGGCCAGCCTTGGCTTCATAGTGAGTTCAAGGTTACCCTGAACTATATAGCAAGACTCTGTCTCAAAAATCTGCTTCTGGCCAAACATGTTGATGAACTCAGCTGAAGCCACTCCAGGCAACCCCATATGAAATAAATGATAAAGCAAGTTTATAAGTGTGTGATCAGCCCTGACACACTCTTGCCATCTTGTCCCACAGATGACAGAAGGCAGGCACTGCCAGGTGCACCTCCTGGATGACAGGAGACTGGAGCTGCTGGTTCAGGTAGGTGTCGCCCACCCTTTCTGAGTCCCATGGTCTGTGCTCAGGCTCAGGAGTGGCTGCAGGAGAAAGGCAGCTGACAAGTCAGAAAGCGTGGCCCTGTCCAGCACAGTTGTTGCAGCCTGCTGACACACATTTAGAAGTATGGGTTCCAGTCTTGGCTTGCACCTTCCAGAGTTGTGTCTCCCTGAGCAAGTGACTACTCTGACTCTCTTGCTGGTCAGTCAGGGCTGCAGTGCTTCTGTGAAAGGATTATTGTGAGGCAGTCCTGCATTCTGCCACTTTCCAGCCATGTGGCCTCGTGTGGGTGAGACACCAGTTTCATCACTTGTGACCTGAAGTTAAGATAGCTGTGACCACAGAACTAGGGTTAAATATATGATACTCTGTGAGTGATGATATTTCAATTTTTGGTGCTTTTCTTTCTATTTGCCCAAAAGTCCTAAGAAGTTATGGAAGGCCCGGCAGATGGGCCCTCTCTTGGCTGGGTTAGACTTCTTTCTTCTGGCCACCCTGCATTCTTGTCCCTCTGAGGTGTGTCCCCATCCCACTCTGCTTAGGCTTCCATTAGAATGAAAACAGTACAGCCGGGGATTTAGCTCAGTGGTATTGCCGCCTGCCTCACAAGTGCAAGGTCCTGAGTTTGATCCCGGTGCCAAAAAAAAGGAAAAAA